ATTACAGATGAGCCATAAAATGTCAGTGAGCCCAAGGAACTCCTCAACTGAGAAGTTAACGACAATGGGCAGCTGATGGTATAAAGCATTATAAATCATGTAATTAGATACTGTTGGCACACATTCTTGTGGTAGCCAACCACCAAGTACGTCTTCAATTATCTTTACCTCTTAGTATTAATGCTCTTGTATAGTCTCTTCCCACTTTGATCTAGAAGTGCTCTAAGTGACTAACTAGGTATGGCAGAGGTGACAGTGTGTGACAGTGTGCAACTTCTGAGGTAGGCCTTAAAAAGCATGGTGGCTTCCATTTTGGCTTCTTGGATTATGCACTCTAGATGCAGCTAGCCCTCATGTTAGGATGACTTTGAAATAGCCTTAGGAAAGATGAATATAGAGATAAAATGAGGCTGTCCATCACCAGCCAACACCAGTTTACAAGCCATGCAAATGAGCCATCTTGGAAGTGAATGTCCCAGCCATAGCCAAACCTTCAGATGACTACAGTTTCAACCAACAAATAAAGAATAGCCTCTCGTAAGATCCTTTGCCAGGACAACCTGTCTTTATCACCTACTCACGAAATGAATAGATGTCTACTACAGTGCCCATTTCCAGCTCTCCGCATTCGTCAAATTGTAGTAGAATTTGTTCTTTGGACTTAATACGGGTTCTTTGTCTTCCTTAGAAGTGGACTACACATATCGATTATAATTCTCCCTTTAGTATTTGTCTCTAGTATTGTTCAAATATGTGATTTCAAATGTTGTTCAGATGTTGTCCCATCAAGTGATATTACAGATGATCAACCAAACAAAAGAATAGAAAAAAAGACACTATACAGTGGTCAAAATAACTCCCAAAAAACACCTTATCTATAATTACATCTCTTCAAACAACATTGTGCATCTGGATTGATCATGTTCCCAAATAATAATGGTCTCTCCTCCATTTCAGGCCGAGGGACAATGAGATGGGATAAAAGCAATAAAACAACCTAAATCAATATAACATGGGGTTTGTTTGTTCGTTTGTTTGTTTTATCTCCACAGTGTAAGCCTTTGCCCCAGAAAATAAAAAAAGAGTATCAAATGCTAAATAAATTTATTGTTTGCCTCAGGAAATCACCCAAGAACAATTGATCTGAGACAACATGCTCGTTCACCTAGGCAAATATCTTACCTATGCAACAATGGTTTCTTATCAAAGCTTGCTTCAAGACCTTCACCTTGCTGTGTCCATCAACCATGAATTATTGCATTCTGACCAATTTTTATGTTACTCCCCTTGGAAGACTCATTTAACTCACTTGAGCCCATACTCCATAACTAGGAAAAATCCTTCTCTGAGTCCTCACTGTTGAGACATGACTAAGAGTCTGTCAAAGTGTCATACTTCCTTGCCAGAGAGAGTTTTAATAAGTTTAGTTTTACTTCAAACACAAGTTGTCCTGTGCTATTTTGGGGAGTTACATTGGTTAAAATACAAAATGTTAGCTAAGGTACTATTTCGTGAACTTGTGATTGTGCCATATATGGTGGACAGTGTTCATTACTGTAAAATATACCTATTATGCAATCAACAGGCATTTTTTGAGCACATACTAAACTCTAAGTGATATGAATACAGAAGATTGATCAAAAACATACCTTCAATGAATATACATACCTTTATACATAATATGCTGAGTAGAGAGCCCCTGACATAGTCAGTGTCATGGCAACAGGCAAGTTTAGGTGAGCATTTCCCATAACAAAAAAAGCTATGTTCATTTGTGCACTGTGTATTTGTGTTTGTGTTTGTGTTTGTGTCTGTTTGGTGAGATAGCTAGCAATATAATTTGATGTCTTAAATACACAATTGGGAAAGGCATCTCAGTAATAAATAAATAGAGATTCTGGTTTAGTTATTAGTTTTTTTTTTTTTTTTTTTTTTTTTGGTTATCTGAGCTTTTTACTAGGATGTGATATCTTGTCCCATTTTTACATTCACATCTACAGACACACACACACACACACACACACACACACTTAATATGGTGATATTCTGCTCATGGTAATGGAAGGAATAAAATATTATTTCTACTATCATCAAAACTAGTCATTTTGAGAGATGCCTCATCTGAAAATTAACAATTTATAGTTCCTTTATAGATTAATATGAAAATTTGATGTTTCCTTTCCAGAAATTCAAATTCATATTTCAATAAACAGGCATCTCTCTCTGCAAAACCTGGAAATGTAGTTCTTTTGAAAAATAATCTGTGCTGGAAAATTGCATGTCATTTTGGGAAAAGACCAATCACAAACAGTAATTACACAGAAAATCAAGCCACAGAAACATCCGTTTCCCTTACAGTTAAGAGTCCTTACTCTCTGAAATGTACACAGGAAAACCAAATGGGGGATGAATGTTCCTGACACTTCAGAGAAAAAGTCACTTGAACAACAGTTCAGCTGACATAATCAAACATATGCAAACCTGGAAAGGAACAAGACGACTGTTTTTCATATTAGTTCAGCTGTCAAGAAAGTGTAAAATAAAACTGTCATTCTTTACTGCATGATGATTTTTTTTTCAAATCATTATTTGTTCATTTTGCAACTTCAACAGCTAACTTGCAGGCTGTGTTCCATGACATTGAAGGACTACGCAATCACATTCATAATAGTGTAAAGGGAGATGACAAGAGAGTATGGTGGCATTTGGATTAATTTCTATTATTAGATGCAATTTGTGACCAAATAATTCAAGGTGTATTTTTTCACAGCATTTTAATCAAGATGAACATTTACTAATGAGTCATTTTAGGGGACTTTTAATTTTAAAAATCAGGGCCATCTTTTCTAAGGGTTAGACTGCTTATAACTTTAGGGTTTTTTTGTTTGTTTTTGTTTTTGTTTTTGTTTTTGTTTTTTGCAATTTATAGTTAATGCCTAAGACCTTAATGATTTCTATTTCCTTTCAATGTCTAACTTCCTTTACAGCAAAATTCCATATTTGTCATATGTAACTACAGTACATTTGTTATTTGCAACCAAAAAGCACTCAGTGGTAAACATTGCCTGTTGTATAAGAATAAGTTAAATTCCGGGGCGCCTGGGTGGCTCAGTCAGTTGAACTTCCGACTTTGGCTCAGGTCATGATCTCACGGTCTGTGAGTTTGAGCCCCACGTCGGATTCTGTGCCGACAGCTCAGAGCCTGGAGCCTGCTTCAGATTGTGTCTCCCTCTCTCTCTGACCCTCCCCTGTTCATGCTCTGTCTCTCTTGTCTCAAAAATAAATAAACATTAAAAAAATTAAAAAAAAGAATAAGTTAAATTCTTATTCTCTGTGTTCTATAGAATTCCTATTTTCTTCCATAGTGTCAGATGAACGTAAAGTGTAATAAGATGAAGGAATCAGCCTATAGGAGTGTAGATCTAAACTAAGTTGAACCCGTGAGTGTCTGATGATGGATGGTGGAAGAAGTTGTTATAGCAATTTGTCTCAACTCTAACCTAGTATTGGATATTTTTAACTGAAGCCCAGTGCATCTGAAATTCCAAGCAGGTAGAACATTTTGAGTGGAGATCTCTTCCAGGAATTGCCCCTCACAGGGAATACATGACAAGATTAAGAAAAGCTCCTATAGAGTTCTCATAGGTGACCCAAGCAAATGTGTTCTAGGCAGATGCTGATCTCAGGAGATCTGCACTCATCCATCCAACAGTTCTCAGGATCAAACTGAGAGACAAAATTATTGGACTTATGCTTATTCTTTTTCCTATGAACTTCCTTTTTATAGGCTCATAAAAATATGATGACATACTACAAAAGGAAAGTCAGCAATATTCTACATACTAAGGCAGGTTTTTGTCAAGAATAAAATAGGATCAAATGATCGAAGAATTCCTAAAAAGCATTCCTCATTTGTGGCGTCAAAACACATACAACATTTGAAGATCCAACAAAAAGAAATTCCATTTTAGGTCTAACACAAAACTTATTTTCACTGTGATCAAGGAGGCTTTCAAATGGATGACTCAAAAGGCTTAAGAGAAACTCCGTTTCTGGGTTAAAAAACTTGAGTCATAATGGGAAGAGGGTCTTGGCTAGTTCCTGTAAAGCCCCCAGGGATGTTGCTTAGTGACTCCCCAAAAGACCAACTAAAGCATGTTGAGTAAGTACAGCTAAATAAAATAGAAGTACAACTACAGAGGAAAACACTACCTTGACAGGGTGGTGTTTTGGAAGAGTGGATGATGAGGTGATATTTATAGGCCATAGGAGTGTGGGTTCAAGTGGATACGCAAGCCTTTCAAGGCCAGTAACTGATTAGAATAGGTAAAATCCATGACATAAGTACTGAGGATTGAGGGACACTTTTAGATGAGGGCCTTGAAGTGAGTCTTCATAAGTAAACCACTATTTAATAAACAGCTATCTGCCCAGGTGAGAAATCTATCGTCTGAAAAGAGAATTGTTTGCTCACACAAATTGGTTTGCAGAAATTTCCTGAAGCAAACAATAAAGTTATTTATTGGTTTACCATCCTACCTTCCTGAAAAAATAATATGAAATAAATTTTTAAATCCTGTTGACATAGACAGTCTCAGGTTTTATTTCTAATAGTTAAGCTGTGTAAATACAGGTAGTCTAAAGTTTCTATGTACTGTTGATTAACACTATCCAGCGAAGATATTACTTTTATTTACTATGAGCTTCAGCTGAAAATCTAAAAAAACAAACAAAAAAAAAAAACTTAATTTCTTCTCTTTAATGAGATTATTGTAGCTGTGATAATCAGCGGGCTGTGTGTATGTGAGGAGTGTGCTTACTCTGCTCTGTCAACATATTCCAAAACATCTTCTCTAAAATTTCAATTTTGAGTGAATGGGAGAACTGTTAAATTGTTTAAGTCTTTTATTACTTAAATCCTGTATTACTTCAATTGATTGCTCTGTATTTTTATGGCCAAGTTTTTGATATGTTGCCATGAATTTAAATGAAAAAATCTGTTCAGCATGAAAACAGGAGTATTTATTTTTCAAAAGGATTCTCCACCATATGTCATTTACAGAACCGAGTCAATTCTTCAGGGTGTAGACGTGTACATTTCCTTCTGTTGGTGTGGAAGTAAGCAAAAGGCCGACGATTATACATTCTTCATAGGATTCTCTGCAGCTTCAGGTAAAACTGTTAAGATGCAGAAAAATAAAAATAAGCTGCTAGAGATTCATAATTACAAATCGGAAAATAAGTGTAGAAGCATTGCTTGAATTTCATATTTCTCTCTAGGGAATTAAAAGCAGTATATAAACATTGTTTACAAATGTCCATATAGTCCTATGCTGATTCCATATGTGAGCAATTGACCTTCTGTCAAAGTCACTGTTGCATTTGTTTTTCAGACTGGAAAGTACTTGTCTGCCAGAAATTTTGATTTCTTCATCTGAAATGAGGGGATAATATATCTGAAAGCATATATATTTTCTAGCATGAAAAAATTGCTTTTGTATTCTGACTAATATATGACTGAAAAAAGACTCATATTTAAAAGAACCTAGGGAACAAGGTGCCATATCCAAGATAAATTGCACGATAAGTACATATTCCATGAATTTATACCAAATAAATATTTCACAAATAATAATAAAGGAACTATTTTATAGCCTCATTCCCACAACTAATAGCAATGGTGCACACACACTCATATGTGACTATATATACATATACATACATATATATATGTATGTATATGTATATATAGTCACATATTATATATAAGGAGAGATGGTTCCATGCATGTCATTAGCACTGTGTTCATCGTCATTAGTACCACCACAGAGCTGTTACTTCTTTTTTATATATGATCATGTGTGTATGCGCATGTGTATTCCAGGTACAATCGAGAATTTCTGCATCATTTCAAATATGCCGCTCTCTTATTACCAGATCAGTAAAAGGTAGTTTATGAATTATAAAATGATACACATAGACATCTTCTACTTGTTCAATATTCATTAAAGCTCAAAAAATATTTGGATTTCCATTCAAAACTCTTCCCTATCTCTTTGTCTATCTTCTTTAATTTTCACTGTTGGTCAATTTTAAATAGCTACCTTTTGTCAAACAAATTCCAACATTAGGCTGCCCAACCTTGGTCTCAGAGTAGTCATACGTAATACCGTATTAAGGTCTTGTCCTCCCTAAAGTCTTGACCATAAAAAAAAAAAAAAAACGTAAGAAAGAAAAATACTGCAAATGTCTAATAAAGGCCCATTCTATAGTGTAATTGGTAAAACCCTGAACTGACTGTCATAATCCATTATAAGGTAGTCAAGCAACTGAAGAGATTGGAAAATATTATAAAAACTTTATTGCAATTAATCAGCATGGTCATTAGTTTATAGGGACGTACTCTGGTATCGTACCCCTCTTTTTGCTTTCTCTTGAATGCCATATTTAAATATAAACTGATGGAAATCATGAGATATAAAGTGACATAAAAACAATGTTCTTCTGGCTTTCCAGTGGATCTTATTTCATCTAGGAGGTACATTTCCTCCATACGTATGTGATAAGTATAGTCTCATAATTTGGATTTATTGAAGCTTGTTTTTAAGGAGCTTTGGGGCTGATAGCAGGGTCTCCTTTTCCTCTTGTATTTTCATTTGACCAGCTTTATTGTCTGTGACTTCCCCACATTAATAACGTAATTACTGTGACCAGTGCTTTGATTGTTCAATATGAATGTGGAAAGAGATGAGTCATATTATTAGATAAAACACTGCAGACAACATATTATTAAATAAAGATATATCAATCAGCCAGGAAAAAAGTACTAATACTCCTGGAGGGTCATTTCCAATAGTTGATATAATTATCATTGCAATGGCCATATAAATGAGCAAAAAGCTAAAATAAAAGAAGAAAAAACCAGAATAGCTTAATAGTAACTTCTTGCTTTGATTTCACTTGAATTTTGTTTATTTAATACTATATATAAGTATCATTTTTGTTAAATGGCATTGATAGGACACTCATGATGAAGTAGAAAATTTAGAAGAAATATTTGAAGACCACACTTACAACATCATTAACTAAACTTAACTCAAATGCCCAAGTGTAGACTTAACTAGTAATATACCTATGAAGGAAGCTGGAAAACAATCTGAATGACACATATTTAGATTTGAACAGAGGCAGAGAAATATCATGTTCTTGGAAAAGACTCAAAATAATAAATGTGTCATTTCTCCTTAAATAAACTATATCTTTCATGGTATTACGAAACAGTATTTTTGGTGTTTACTTTCCCGGTGTTAGATAAGTTGACTGAAATTGACTCAGAGGGGTAAAGAAGCAGAAATATGAAGTCAAGGTATCTGTAGGACAATGCTAGGGAGGATCCTTCCCATCTTTGTTTTTTTCCTTCCCTCTTAGCTTCTGATGTTGGCAGTAATCTGTGATGCTCCTTGTAAATGCATCCCTCTAATCTCTACTCTCTTCACACAAGCGTCCCTTCGTATGTCTGAGCTTTCACATTGGCCTCCTCCTCTGCATGTCTATATTTCTTCTTTTCTTATAAAGACACCAGCCATATTGTATTAGGTCTCGTCTTAACCAGGTTACATCTATGAAGATCCTATTTCCAAATAAGGGCACAGTCCTGGAAACTGAGGGTTGCAATTTCAGTGTATTTTGGGGTGACACAATTCAAACCACAGCACCATCCTAATGTTTCACTCACTAATGAATTAATATGTATTGACATATAAACATTTTTACATTTACGTGGTGACTTTCTAAATTATACTGTGTTGTATAGTTTGGTCCACCAAGAGGACCAAATGGAATCACCTACCTTAATCAATTCTACTATGTTGCCTAAGCAGTGAACGCCATTGATGCTCAAATACAAGAATACCTTTCATTTTACCTGTAGAAGAAAAGTAATAGAATCCACCTTTGTTACTTTCCTGTTTCTCTCTTTTTATCCTGACTTCTCTTTTTGTTGTTCTTGCTATGTCTGGTTATTGGTGTAGGAGCAGAAAATGTTTCCTTTATTCTCTTCTAGGTTCATTGGCTGGTCTAATAATTAAATTGACATAAACCAGATTAACACGATAAAAACAAATTTAATTTTGTACTTATAGGAGCCCCACCAAAAATATGAGCCTCAAGGGAATAACCAAGCAGGCAGATTTTTTTTACCTTTTAGACAGAAAAAAAAAATTGTGAAGAACTGATAAAACAAAGAAGTTGGGGTATGGGGTGGTAAATTAGTGAGGTATTAACAAGTTTTGTTGGCATAGCCTCTTTGGCCTTAAATTTCCTATTTTTCGTAGTAAGGATGTTTTCTACCTTCCTGGTACAGGGAAGGTGCCTTTCATATGGGAGGTTTATTTCCTATTTTTCCAAAAGAATGGTCAGAGTGTCCTTCTTGCACTGGCTGTTTTGTAAGTAACTTTAATTCAAAATAATCATTATGCTAAAATGGCATATTATGGGGTAACATATTCTGCCCTCCTCTATAGTCAGTTTTGGTTCTAATTCTGATTAGTGCATGGCCACTGAACTACTCTCCACTGTTATAGCAATGGTTAATTCCTTCAGGACAATGTTGAATAGAAATAGGGAAGGGGAACAGCTTTGCCTTATTCTTAATCTCAGGTTAAAAAAAAAAAATCTCAGGTGAAGAGTTTTTAACATATCATAATTTAGTATGATGCTAATGGAAATGTTTACAGATGACTTTTGACAGGTTGAGGAAGCTATTTACTATTCCTAGCTTGCTGAGAATTCTTAAAAATTAATGCTGAATTTTGACTTTTTTTTTTTTTTTTTGCTTCTATGTACATGATTATATGTTTGTCCTCTCACATTGTTATTTTGGTGAATGAGACTGATTTTTTTTCAAATGGTGATTTTTCTTTTCATTTAAGATAATATTTTATTACGGGACGCCTGGGTGGCTCAGTCGGTTAGGTGGCTGACTTCAGCTCAGATCATGATCTCATGGTTCGTGGGTTCGAGCCCCACATCAGGCTCTGTGCTGACAGCTCAGAGCCTGGAGCCTGCTTCGGAATCTGTGACTCTCCCTATCTCTCTGTCCCCTTCCCAGCTCATGCTCTGTCTCTGTCTCTCAAAAATTAAATAAACGTTCAAAAAATTAAAAACAAAAGATAATATTTTATTATTTCTAATGCTTTTCACAGAGGTGGAAGCTGGAACTGATTAGTGAGTATTTTAAGAGAATTTGCACATTAATTTTTTAAAAAGAAAAATACATTAATATAATTTTAAAACTATGTTAAAATTCCAATTTTAAGTTGATAGAGCAGCAAATGAAGTCTACAGTATGGATACAAACTAGAAACTTTTCAATATAGAAAAAAATGAAAAGAACTAGAAAGAGAACAGAAGAAATAGATACACAATATGAGAGGGATGGAATAAAACACGAGTATGCACATCAAAAACAAAAATCTAAGAGATTTAAATACTATTCATATACAAGCAGATAAAATATAAAAGAACATTTCATGAGCTGTTTTTTTTAACATAGCTGAACTTGTATATCAGAATGTGAACTAGATTTCTGACTACATTAATAAAAATAGACCCTTTTCTAAAAATATATTATAACATTTAAAATACAATGATAACAAAAATATATCTACAATAATGACGCAGGATTAATATTTTGATATCTGTAGTATAATATGTCTGGATAGCCTTAAACTTTTTTTTTTTTTTTAATCTAACATCTAGAGGTTGGAAGAACTCTCTGTTGGGATTCGAAAGATATTTTCATACAAAATTTTATGCTCTGTATTTGTAAAAATGGAAAGTTTTTAAAAGTATTATATCTCCATTTGAAAAAAAATAAATGGTAAAAAAGGAACATGTGAATAACATTAACCAAAATAAGGGACTAAAAAATAAGATTAAAAAAATGATTGGAAGTACTATTTATGACTACATAAATTTAAGTAAAACTATGGTTACTGTATTGAATAGAATTAAAAATATTTTTGCAAAGATATATGATTAAAGTATTATAGTATTATGGGACTTATCACAGATTAAAAAATAAATAAGAGAATAATTTATTTCTTAATGCTTAACCTTAGTTCATTTAGTGCTTTTAGTTGTTTACATTATAAATGAGAATTATTTATTTGAAATAT